CTATAAGCCGCACCCCCGCTTTTTTTTTCTTCTTTTTTTGAAGCGAGTGGTTGAAGCAAATGGAGCACAAGAGCCCCCTGGTGGCTGAAGAAAAAAATCCATGTATAAGCCGCACTGGACTATAAGCCGCATGGTTCAAAGTTCAGGAAAAAAGTCGCGGCTTGTAGTCCGAAAAATACAGTAAGTAAAAGTCATAAAACTCCTCACAGTAATCAGAAAAGTAAAAGTTCTTTTACACATTAAGAAATGAAGTGTTAAATTTACTTAAACAAACTTGTTCCACTAAACCACTTTGAGTATATTGTTTTACATTTACTTAACTCTCTTTAGTGGAACCACTTGACATAAATTGTTTCAGTACTTCGTTTTCTTCATAAACAACTCATTTTATGATGAGTTTGGTTATGTTTAAAATTGTAATGTGTGACAAGGTATTAAATTTAAAAGAAAGAATTAAAAGTATCAATTTTAGGTTTGAAAGTAAGAAAATAAAACTAAATGTTTAAAAAAATACTTTGTAAAGTTACAAGTCCTCAAAAAAAGACTTAAGTACTGTAACAAAGTAAATGTACTTAGTTACTATACCTGCCTTGAGGATGGATAAAATGGTAACGAGGGCCAGATTTAGCCCGTGARCCTTGAGTTTGACACACGATCTAGCTGGTGTGCCACTTTTTCTGTTGCTTTAAATTGGATCATAATTTTTATGGGTGCAACGATGGAAAAAAAAATCAAGATTTGGTTTGATACTTTAGTGACACGGTTCAATATTTTTTTTAGTCCAAAACAGAAATTTCCATGCCCTTTTAAAAGCTGCTGGATGCAGTTTCTGGAAAACCCTGGACTCAGAAAAAGTTTGAAGAGATACAGTACATACAGCCTTCAGGTCTCTCCCCCTTGCTCTCTGTTAAGCTTCAGCCCACCTTCCTAAGCTCCTCCCATACAGCCTGAGTCTGGAGCTTGAATGAGAGTGTGCGGCTGCAGCAGCGGGCAGGGTGTACGTGATTGACACCTGTGAGACAAACCTCTGGGCTTTGATTTGCCCTTTTTCTTCGGGAGCGCTATTAAACAGATGGCTGTACGACCACCGGGAGGAGCCAGAGAACTTCTGTTTTTTTTCAGAGATTATCTGTCTGATATCAATCTGTCGGGACATAGTGACAGTTTTTACAAATATGTCAAAAATATATTTTTATAAAAGTTAAAGATTGCAGCTTTAACTTGTAATTTATTGAAATTAATTATGAACATTTGTTTAGCCTCAAAAGTACAGTTTTTAAATTAAACATTGCTGAAACCGCAAGTTTCTCAGTGGATCTGTGCTCGACAATGCTGCCTAGGTGGAGTAGTCGAACACGGATCCACTGATCCTTCAACACAGAGCATCTTCAGAGGACAAGTTGATAAGTCCCCCTGGATCTCCACCCAAAATAATAAATCTGTTCTGGTGAGTTCTAACTTCTGGTGCATTGGTGCTTTGTTTATGTGTAGGGGTCATACATGATGCTACCGCTATGCCGCATCTAGCTTTAGAAAATGAGCCTTATTTTGTATTAAAGAATACTTATGAATGTAAAATTATTACAAAACAGGCAAACTATTATATATTTATTTTTTTGTCCCCGGCAGTTCTCCTCTATTGTCTTCTTCTTTTATTTTATTGTATTTTATTTTATTTTTATTTTTTGGAACAGTCTGTTTTTTACACTCGTCCTGTGACACTGGTTATACAAAACGTGAAATCTGAAATTCTTTAGAAGAAGACTGTGGAGGCAGGGCAGTAGTGCAGCAGAAATCAAGGTGGGAGGGATCTGAAAGGTGTTTGTTCAAATTTTCAGACAAAGTCTACTGTTTTCTCAGTACTGCAGCTTTAATGCTTATTATTAGCAAACAGAATAAGTTTTGTGTTGAAACAAAAACATCTTGTTTGTGGATGGGCATCCAGTGACTTATTTTACACTAAAAAGAGCCACTGCCTATTCTTAAAACAATCAGGTTTTTCTGAATAATAAAAACAAGTTTTGATTGATATACATTGTATATTTTTGCTATTTTTGTCAAATAGTTTTTTGTCCAATAGATGAATTTTTTATGAGTCTCTTGGAAACTATGAAGGATAAATTGATTTACTCAAATGATCTGAAATGTTGTCCAGCGAGGCCTCTGGAGGGTCTCGGTTTCTGCAAAGTGGATAATTTGATTTGTGGGTTTTTTATGTTTCCAAAAAGCTATTCTCAAAACACAGTGACTGCATTTTTTCTGCAAACAATACAAAAGCAGTTGCTGTAAATTCATTAAAAGTGTTTTGTAGGAAAATATCACAGTATATACAAGRATTTTCAAAGATTTTTAAGGAAAAATTGATAACTTTTTGTTTTCATTAGTCATAAAGTTAAATTCTAACATTTATTCCTTTGTTTTCACTGAACAAATAGCAGATTATCTAGTATTTAGTTTATTGCTGCTAATCTGAGATTAGGTAAATTGTGATGTAAACGAACAGAAAACCTAAATCTGTGCAGTCAGCTCGACTTAAGTAAATAGACTTCAGGACGCCTTGTTTTTCCAGGTGCTGTAGTGGTGARTGAAGGTGGGGGAGGAACAAGTGTGTGTGCATTTGGAGCTGCCAGGTGCTGATGGTATGCTATGGGGTAAGACAACTGTCAGAAATATTGTATGTGTAAGAGTCTAAATTTGTACATGTAAGTCTATAAACATACATAAATTTSTTATAACTTTGCCACATTACAAGTACGAATCAAATTTACAAGTACAATTCTTATGTGAGAATATAACTTTTTAAGTTACAAATACAAGTTAAAAAGTTACAACTTTGCCACATTACAAGTACGAATCAAATTTACAAGTAYGAATCTAATTTACAAGTACAATTCTTTTACCTGTCAAAATAACAGACATTATGCATGGAACACCGAAAAGATCGATTGCAAACAGTAACTAAGCCAGACCACTACGGGGACATGACCACTGCCTCAATTGGGACCAGATGAACTCTTTATAAACACAACAATTTGCTGAAGGGAAAAACATTTGGAGGCTTTTCAGTTTGTCATTCRTGTCATGTAGTACAACAATAAAGTAGATAGTGGATTTATGATGAAATATGTTATTTTATTTTATTTTTACTTTAACACTGTCTGATTTCAGTTTTTAAAATATTTTATTCAATTTCTTAAACAGAATTCTGCTTTTATGATAGTCTTTTTTGAACATTTATTTTATTTTTCTATATTCTTATTTTTTTCTTTTGCACTTTGTCAAAATGTTTTGTTTGTGTAAAGCACTGATTTGTCTTGTTGCTGAAATGTTTTATATAAAGCTGCCTTGCCTCAGGTCAGCAGCACAATAATTAATATACAGYGGAGTGATGATGAAATGTTCCAAATTATTTATAGACCATATTTTTTAAGCAACTTCTCTTTAACTTATGATACTGTTAACACTACTCTAAACTACTACTGGAGACTGGAGCCAGGTGGAGAACAAACCTTCAGATGGTTGAAGTACAGGTGGAGACGTCTTCATGACCTGCAGAACATCAGGACTGATGCTGGAGCTTTCTGATACATGTGTGCATCAAGGTGTCAGAAATACTCAGAAACAACATGACAGGCCAGAGCAGGGAGATGAAAATGAATCAAAGAAAATATTAATTTCATTTTAGTGACCGTTGAGGTCACTAAAGGTCTTAATAAACAACAAGGTCTTAATAAACAAAACAAAATATAGTTAGAGAAAGCTTTTTAAACTCACAGTTAACACCAATTAGGTTTTTGTTCTTTTCAAGCCGTACTAAATAAACTTCGACTAAACAGGAAGCATGAGGCTGTTTTTTCTTTCCTACTCGTATCATGATAACACTAACACCATGTTAACAACAACAGCAATCAACAAAGCTCTACTTTCAGCATAGAAACTGTTTAAACACATCCTCTTACAAATACTGACAAGTACTGTGTGTATCAAGTGTAAAATAAATAATACAAACTACTATTAAAAGTAAAAAGAGTTTCACTTACAGTTGTTTAGGGGTTTGCTGGTGGGCGACATGAGTCCCCCTGCTGGCCGGGTCAGAGCACTGCCATTATGTGTTTTTGAACTTGCATTATTTTTTCCATTATGCAGTCGGTTTTATGAATGCACCAGTTTTCCTTTTTGGTTGTTCATCATAAATCCACTATCTACTTTATTGTTGTACTACATGACATGAATGACAAACTGAAAAGCCTCCAAATGCTTTTCCCTTCAGCAAATTGTTGTGTTTATAAAGAGTTCATCTGGTCCCAATTGAGGCAGTGGTCATGTCCTCCTAGTGGTCTGGCTTAGTTACTGTTTGCAATCGATCTTTTGCGTAATGTCTGTTATTTTGACAGGTAAAAGAATTGTACTTGTAAATTAGATTCGTACTTGTAAATTTGATTCGTACTTGTAATGTGGCAAACTTGTAACTTTTTAACTTGTATTTGTAACTTAAAATGTTATATTCTCACATAAGAATTGTACTTGTAAATTTGATTCGTACTTGTAATGTGGCAAAGTTGTAACAAATTTATGTAGGTTTATAGACTTACATGTACAAATTTAGACTCGTACACATACAATATTTCTGACAGTTGTCTTACCCGATAGTATCCTGGTCTCACATGTTTCGTGCGTGATTTCATTTTACTGTTATACAATGTGAATCTTCAAATGAACTGAGTTTGTTTTTTGTCAGATTTTAGAGCCAAGAAAATAAGAGTTTCTGAGAAAGTGACAGAAAATATGTCTGTGACTTGTGAGGACTGGGTTTTATTATTAAACTACAAGCATCTGATCTTTCATTTAACTCAAATGTTTGTCCATTTATGTGAACAAAAGCAAAGTTTTAAACAGCTCTTGTTTGACCAGTTAGAACTCAGTGTGATTTGGAGGATTCTCAGCTGCTGCTACTCCAAGTTGTAGCCCATTATCTGTAAAATTGACTGAATTATAGTTATTTTTGTGTTCGCCAAGGTTAACTGTGGCAACCGCTTTGATTAGTATTGACTCAAAAAATAATCAGCTTTAGATGTAGTTGACGGTGGATAACAGGGCTTCAAGATATCAGGAAAACCTGCAATGTGCCAAAACTGTGTGATAAATGAACAAATACTGGTACTTAAGAATGTAGTGTTGATGTCTGCGTTCAGAGCAAGAAAACGTAACCGGCCAACAAACGTCTTTAAAATATTGCCCCTGTAAACATTTTCTGATGCTCTAAATACTGAAAAATGCCCCTTACTATAAAAGTCTTCAATAAACGTTACAAACCAAAATCCAACTGCAAATTCTCTCATTTGTTATGGTTTGATGTAGTATTTCTGGTCCAGTTGTTTTTATCAGACAGATGCTGACAAAATACATAAATGCAACCATTTGAACCAACCATTTATTGCAGTTTATGTTGCATTGATGATAAATTGGCAATACACTGTGCAGCCCTGAACAAAAATGAATGAAAAACACTTATAGGCAATAAAAATATTGAAAATTAAACCTAATAAAGCTAATTATTATGGAAAAGTGTTAATAAAGCTTAGAAGGATATTATAAGAAAGTATCATTCATGATTTCGAGTTAGACAACAAAACAATTGTTCTTGTATTTGTATTTTTTAGTCTGATAACAATACTGATGATTAATTCCCAGTCATCCATGTATGAGTTGTCATTCAGTGAAATATTTCTCTGACTTTAAAAACCCTCACACAGTAGATGGACATGGACAGGTGCTTAAACACTCAAATTCTCAGCAGGAGACAAACGAACAGGAGGGCAACAATGCTACTAAAAATAGCTCTTACCCTTGTAGAGGGGAGAGAAAATGTGTTTGTGCTGAAGTATTTGACAGAAGAGTTTTGTGGAACCAGCAGCTCCAACCCTTTTAAGATTCGGGATTTTAACTGGTTATGGTCTCAGTTTTTCCTGAGAACAGGTTTGTGTTGGACTAATTTTGATGAATGGGTTTCAGCTTTGTTTACAAACGAGCAAAAATACTCTAGTAATGGGTGTTAACTGTTGCGATATTTCTGAGTGAATCGGTTTGTTCTTGTGTATTTTAACTGAAGATTTACTGCTTTTGTTTCTGTAAGTTTACCTCAGTTTTTAAGCACAAAACTTATTTCACTTGTTAGCAATGAAGTAAAGTGAAGCGTCAGCATTTTGCACCACAGACTTATTGAGATATTGGATTGCAACACAAAATACATTTTTTTAATCTTGTTACATGACTGTAGAGATYCAGTTTTCCTCTCTAACTGCAGTAGTTTGTGTTTTTCTGCATAAGCTGTGAGGGATGCTCTGTATATAAGTTTTTATAGATACACGCTGTAATGAAACTGACAGAGCAGTGTGTGCTTTTTAACTGGGTCTTACTAATAGTTTTATTGTTTAACCATGTTAGAGGAAGCCCTAAAATGTAGAAGTTAAGCATTTGTGCCTTTTCTGTAACTGTCACTGATTCATAAATTTTATTTTGGTAATGGGACCTGACAAACAAGAAAATATAAATATAAATTATATTTTATATGTAGCAATAACTTGTTTTCTAGCTTTATTCACTTTCAGACATTTACTGATACTTTACCTCATAAATCTTATTTTCATTCTTTCTATTTCCATCCTTTTTTACTTTGTCTACATAGCGTACTGCAGACTGAACTTTCATAATTCTTTGTATTGTATTTTTAAGGTGCTGATGTCATGTTTTTATAAAAATTGTTTCCCTTTTTTTTCTTCCCTTTTAGCACGATATTGGAGGAGGAGAAAGTCCAGCAGAAAGAAAGGAACAGGATGGAGATGAGGAGGCAGGTCACTGTTTCCTGGGACTCTGGAGGGTCTGATGAGGCTCCACCAAAAGTAAGCCACTCATTTACACTGTTGTGTACTTGTATTTGTTAACGTTTTAGGACTTAAGGCCAGTGGTCCTTAAAGGGACTAAAGACTAGTCCTAATATGGTGGAACTCCATTTTTGAGTTGGGGTTTAGATTTAGGGTAATGGGACAGAGATGGGCTGTAGAAACGCATGGAAATAAATGGACGTCAATGAATGAATGGTTCTAATAAGGATGAACGCACATGTGTGTGACTGGTATATATAAAACATTCCATGAAGAAATGCATATCACCCACTGTCTTTCATATCAGTTTCAAACTAAGATCAACTTATGATAATTAAAAAGTAATAAACATTTTGGTTAATGGTGTTTGATCTCGTGTAATATTGTGAACTCTCACATGATCTGCTACGCTTGGAGTGTGTGTTGAGCTTAGCATTTCTAAATCTGACCAAGTTATAGTAATTTTTGTGTTGGCTAAGGTTGATTAGCAGCGGCAGCCATCTTAATTCAAGCTGAYGGTAGAGATAAAATGTGGAATTTTAGGCCCTGTTTTTAAGAGTCCGGCCTCTAGAAATGCTGCTGTTTTTTTTCAATGTTTGTTCCGGTGAACAAACAACAAAAGCAACAGTTTACATGGAACCGCTGCAGTAATGTGCCAGGCAGAGTTGCCAGATGGGGCATGGTAAGCTGTTGTACTGTCCCTTTAAAATTACTGTATTTTGGCACAAACTGTCAGTGAAGGTGCTGTAAGATAAGGCGTGTGCTGTATTTGGCAAAAATGTGCACAGAAAATGTTTTTTATCTGGCAACCCTGAGTATCATTCATGCACTGAACATGCTGTGGCTGCACAGTTACGTTCCTTCGGACCTAGGATGTATTTTGATTTTGCTCCTTTATGCTGCAAAGGGTGAGTAATACAAAAAACGCTTTTGCTTGTGAAACTTTTGCTTGTGTGCTGGCTGCTCATGCACTTTCACACCCGCGGCTTTTGTTACCGAAAAGTTCCCCTCTGAGACCTGGTTTCAAAACGTGCCGGTGTCAGAGACCGCGATCGCTGTTACGGTTTCACTGAAAACCAGCCCTAATGTATCTTATAAATTTAGCAGCAAATCTTGATATCTTGCTGTAAATATTCTACCTACACAGCTTACATCACATGTAATAAATGTGTTTTTCTTTATATCTTTCCTACATCTTGACATGTTGACCCCTCCTCACAGCTTGTTGCTCCAGCTGCTCCCTGCTTCTCTTTGACTTATTACCACAGTTCTCCTGCTGTCAGCATCTGTTAGCTGCTTCTGTTAGTTACAACTAAAGCCGTATATCTTCAGCAGCAGTTCTACAGATTGGGAGGGTTTTTTTAAGTCACGGGTCGTTCAGTAAATCTGGTTTTTATTATTGTGTAAAAAACCTACAGTTGGTGGTTTTTATTATCAGGAAAATGAAGTAAATAAAACACGGATTGAATCAGATACATTTTTCAAACTTCTTAAATGCCTGCTTTCAGGTTTATTTGTATTTATGTTCATGCTTTGGTTTTTAGAACCCTTCTTTTTTATGATACATTTTCCCCACATGTCCCCCCTCTGCCTTTGTATCTCTGTTTGCAGCCCAGCCGCCGCCCTTCCCTGCAACCCACCTTCAGTCTGGATTGTGTTTCTGCTCCCTCTCCTCATCATTGCCTTCAAAGCCAACGCTTTGGCTCACAGCTTTCCCTCTGCATTGGAAACCCTCATCCATCATCTCCCCACACTTCTCCTCTCCCACCCACTCCTCCGCTCTCTCCTCTACCGCTGAAATTTCCCCATCCCTTCTCTTTTTCTGCCAGCCCTCAGCCCCACCCAGCTTTTCAAAGCGCCACTTGTCACAACAGTTCTCTGTCTCAGCGTAACATTGAGTTAAATCCCGAGTCCAACCTTTATCCTTCGTTGTTGTTCCAGCCTCAAACTACAGTCCGCTCTTTACCTCGTTCATATTCTCGCAGCCTGTCCACCGGCAGCTGCCCCAACAAGACAAATGTGCTGACTAATGACCTCATGCTTGGCTCATCCCAGTTCAACACCAACTCTCATCCTTGGCTCTTCTCTCCACCCCTTTCCCARTCTACTCCAAACATTGACCCACTGTCCAGTAGCGTGTCAAATGTATGTCCTCATCCTCTACAAATGATCCAGTCCAAGTCAAGTTCTAATCCCGGACACTTGCTGTCTGCCAGCTTTCACCCTGACAGCCAGTATAATCCCAGTGCCCCACTCCAAACTGACTTTGACCCCCAGACCAAATACCCCGCTGTGCAGCCATTTTTGAGGCCCCCCCTCCCACCTCCACACTCAGAGAAAGTCCTTGCAGCGGCCTCGGCCTCTAATTCATCCTTCACCAACCCTCACCCACCCAGCCTCCCTGTAACCACCCCCACCTTGTTTTCCTTTCCCTCCTCTGACGGACCCAGGTCCGGACCCTTCCAGGCAGGTGGTGCACTGCTCAACTCTGGGAAAGTGTTTGCTCTAACCAGACCAAACCTGTGTGTGTAACAAAAAAGAAAACACTGAACGTTCTTCTTTTTTGAGCCTTTGAAAAGTTTTCAGTGCTTGGTTGTAAAATGAAAAATGAATGAAACTGACAAGGCCAGTTGTTTTATTTTATATCGTCACCATTTTAAACCTATTGTACAATTTCATTAGTAAGTGTTGACGACTTTACAAAGACAGAATCAAAGTTAAAGTATAGAAACACAATGGTTTGATTTTACTGAACGTTTAGAATTTAAAACTTCATTACTTGAGCCGATAATAGAAAGTTGGAAACACATCTGGATTTTTGCCAGTGACAGATTAACAGATTGACCATATGGATCAGTCTAATTCTGTTTAGTTGGTTTTACATTTATATTTGAGTTATTGCACCTAAACAAACAGGAGAAAAAGTCCATTTGCTGGTTTGTGGGTTCCAGATTGAGTCAGGAATGGATTTGATGTAAAACAATTGACAAACCTTTCATGTGAGTTTGCTCTCTGAGGCGACCCCTGCAGAAGAGAGCAGCTGAATAGAAAAGACAACATAAAGGTTCATAAAGACTCTGTCTTTACTCAAACACTTATCCATCAAAAGCCAACACCTCTTCACTGTGTTAGAATCAAGGTTTCCAGTTTGTTTTCGGTTTTCTATTCTCACTTCATCTTTTTTTTTTTGTTTTATAGGGAAACTGTAACATCTGTTCAGAGACTATATGAAAAATAACCTTTGAAGAAGCTCAGTTACATTAACAACAATGTTTATGATCACCTCCATCGTCAAATAAAATAAAATCTTTGAATACTCCGATGGAAAAGCAGAAAAAGAAGAAAACTCAGTTCACACACACACATCTCAAAACTATTACTTTCATTTACAAGTGGTTTTGCTTAAAATGTATTAGCCCACTTCAGTCCCTGTGCTGTTTTTTCCTGGTAGGATGGTTTTTCTAACATGCTGTTGAAATGTTCCCAGTCCATTGTGAGTGAACGTGGATACTTATATTTATGTTTGTGTGATGTATAGGTCATTGGATTTTTGCATTCTATTTCTGGCCTGTTGAGCATGCCTKTGATGAATCCTACATCCGCTGAACTAACTGAGTCACATAACACACATGAAAGATTTACATGGTTCACAGTGAGATTACAAAAGCTAACTTTTACTAGACCATCATACAAAACATGATTCTTAGACATTTTATTTGTTTAAATAGTTGTTAAAGTTGTTTAAAAAACATTATTCAATTATTTGCAGCAAAATTTGCAGCACACAGTGTAGTTAAATATGATCATTTATATTATTTGTTTTAATCCTTTTACTTTAATGTGGCATATTTATTACTAAAGCTTTTATAAATGTGTGAAGTACAGGGTCAGGACAGATGGTGTAAAAGTCTGTCTCCATTTAAATCTGCTCATATAAACTTCATTAATTTGAAACGAGTGTTGGTTTTTGCCCAAACATCTCATGTTTTTAGCTGTAAATTTAGTTTATTCAGCTGTGAAAGTTACCTTCTACTTTTATACTACATGTGTTAATATTTACTTCTAAGTTTGTGGTTTCTTTGTGGTTTCTCGATGCATAATGTCTGACATGTCAGTGTTAGAAATCAACAAGGACAATAGTTTGTGTTGAGTGCAACACGAGTTACTTTTACTCAGGCTTCAGTTTGGCTCGCGTAGTGAAGGCAGGAGTTAAAGGTACTTATTTCAAGATGTGAAATGAAACATAACATCTGTTTAAGAGTTTACTTCAATAGTTTTCCAGGTATGTTGAATGCAGTTCTGAAATGTGGGTGTGCATTCAATATAAATAAATTACTCAGTTGATTTAGTTACAAACCATAAAAAATTTGAGTCACAGGTTTGACCCACTAAGGCTGGTCTTAGTCTGTGTAGGGAAACAACTATAATCTCAAATTCAACATTCAGGTGGATTTATAAGAGTGAATCTGCTGCTGAAAAAAAGAAAGATCAAGTAAGACAACTATAAATATTGTTTAATACACTGCCTGGTCAAAAAAAGTCACCACCAAAGAAAAAGGTCACACACTAATATTTGGTTGAAGCGCCTTTAGCTTTGATTACAGCTGTGGTCTTGTTTGGATAAGCTTCCTAGACCTGACCGACTGCAGCAACCCCAGATCATAGCTCTGCCCCCACAGGCTGTAAAGTAGGCCTGATGGGTGCATCCTCGAAGACCATGGGCCCCCACTATCCTTCCAGTTTTTAATAATGCGTTGAACAGTTCTTAACCCAATTTTAGTCGTTTCAGCAATCTCCTTAGATGTTTCCTCTGCTTGATAATTTGACCCTTCTCAAACAGACTATCTTTTCCACAACCACAGGATGAGTTTTTGACATAGCTGTTTGAGAAATGAGAAGAAACTTATTGTACCAGTTGGGGTTAAGTAACTTGTTGCCACCTGAAAGATAATCACCCATGCAGTAATTATCCAATAGAAGGCTTGTAGCTATTTGCTCAGTTAAATCCAGGTGGTGACTTTGTTTTTAGGCTAGGCAGTGTATACAGTATATAATATCAGGACAGCTGAGGACCATAAAGACAGAGCTCGACATTCAAACATGTATTTTTTTTTTGTAAAACTTATACTAGACCAGTAAGTTTATCATTGGGCCTATTTTCAGTTACTTTATTTTTGTAGGTAAACAAACACGTGGTGGTTGACATTCTGTCACAAATTCTGCTTCATTTCTCTCCTTTTAGAACGTACTAGCCACATATGTGTGTAAAACATTGCACAGGTTTTGTTTATGAGTACTTTTGTCCAGTCTTTATGATGTTGCAGAGTACCTTTCACCCTTATACCAGTCTGCACCCATGATATGTTCCATTTTCAGAGCTTTTTGTGTTTGTTGTGCTTCAGTCTGTAGCTCTATGTGATGATGGATGTGTCTGTGTGGGAGTCGAGGAGCCCCAGAGTGATGTATGAAGTAAAAGAAAACCTTAATTACAATGTTCTACAGAACATTCCTTAAAAGTTCATGTGGAGTTATGTAATTGGACTACATGCCTGTTTTTAGGAACATGTGTTTTACAATGTAAGGTTACTAAAAACATCATTATATTAAAAGTCTACATAGTGAAAAATCTGTAGACAGTTAGGTTTTACCTTGAACTGTAGAAACAGAGTATTTTCTGCCCATGTACTTTGGTATCAGTGTATTTGTGTTAACAAATTAAAACTAGAAAATATATGTTTGAACTACTTGATTACATTTTAGATTGAAGCAATTGAACATATTATTATTTTAACTTTAAATTACATTTTGTTTTTATTGTCTAGTAAATTGGAGATAAAAGACGGGGTCGAAATTTGCACTTGAATTTTCAGACCCGTTGTGAGTTTTACGTAGTTTTTGAGATGTCTTTAAACGTGCAAATAAATACACAGATTTTTAAAATTCCTGTCAAATACTATCATAAATAATTGTTTACAAAATATACTGTATGTACATGTGCATATTTGTCTAACCTGCTAGTTGTTTTTCCCCTTTGACACCTGACTTGATTAAAAAGATCTAAGTAATTTATGTAGATACATTTGGAACCTTAGGGAGGCAGCTCATTAAGCTATAGGCACTAGTAAATATCACATATTGTCACTTTTCCCTGTTTGTATGTTTAAAAAAAGCAGACAGCTGTGAAGGTCACTCCCTGCAGGTTGTGCAAATGTCACCAGCGTATTAACACATGAGCAGGCCAGACAGCTGCTCCTGTACTCATACACTGATGACATTAGTTGTTCTTGTTGGGTGGTACAGCTTCGATCCTCCCTACCTTTATAGACTGGACTTAGGTTGTTTTCTTAAACCCTTTGTATTCAAAGCCATTGGATTATGTATTGGGTCGTTCATTATTAAGTTCAGAGATCCATTCAAAGGTTTATCAGATACTAACCAGTGTTTACTGCAATTTGATTGAATATTTCCTGAAAAAGTCAGTTTTTTGTTGTCACATTTGTATATTTATTTGGGTTTTGTTTGTTGTTTCCTGGGAGAACTTGCCTCCCTGAGGATTAAATATGCTGCAAATTCAAACTTCCAAATTCAAAGTATATTTACATGTGAGCTTGTCCACAGTTAGGGTATTCTTCCCCTATTTTGCATCTGAACACTCAAAACTAGTTTGTATTGTGTTGTTTTTTTGTCTTGTCTGCTTCTCCTTGATCTATTTTTCTTCCTGTCCTACTTATTTTTGCCCTTTGCCCTTTTTCTTGTCTTCTTCCATCCCTCCTTGTTTTGCTTTGCTTTCTGTTTCCCTCCCTGTGTCTTTTTGTGTCTGTCTTGCCGTCGAAGGTGTGGTCCAGAGAAAGCTACTATGAGAGACTGTGGAAGGTAGAAGCCGCTACCTTGTTGTGTAAAATTGACCTTCATATAGGATCGTTTAGAAAAAATAACTCAAAAAGGAAGAACGTTTGATAAATTTAGATCAGTTTCACCTCAACTAGCCAACAGAAAAAGAAAACAAAATCAAGATTCACCAAGCACCTCTGTTTTAACTGAAAGTACCCAGTGTTGCACCATAGTGCACTGTCAACAAGAAAACTTTGATTTGTTTGGTCAGTAAACCCAGCAGAAATTGGTTTCACTGTGGAGGGCCATGAAAAAACCTGGAGTCAGAATATCTTAGGATCTTTCAAAGTGGTCTTGATCATTATTTTTCAAGCTTTCTTAAGGTCTTTCAAAATGTTTCATTGGCTGCATTTTAGTACATTCTTGGTGTACTGCCTGGCTAATTTCAAAGAAATGTTTTTGTATTTGTTTAAGTTAAAAACCTTTGATTTATGTTAAGTCACATAAAAGGCTGATAAACTCACTGAACAAACCAGTGTTTTGTCGACACAACGCAGTTTGTCTAAGAACTGATTTTAAATGGGTTTGTCCAGGGGTTTGTCTTCAGTTAGAAAAACCCTCCCAAAAATCCACTGACGGGTCAGGATTTTATTTTGTTTTTCACCATGAAAGAATTGTCACTTTTAGAGGTTTGTTGACAAAAAACTCAAAGGCCCTCTAGGTTACCTTCTTTGTTTACTCACTCCAAATTATAATCACGGCGAGTACCAAAAGCATTTTAATGAATGTTTCCATAAACTGAACCCCCATATGTGCACCCTTGGTTGTTGTAAGCTGGTGAGGGGAAAAAGACATTATAATGAACTCTACTGACCAGACGCAAACTAACTAGGGGGCGTGGCTCTATTGACCTTTTTCCATTAGTGCCTCTACAGCATGGTTCGTCTTGGCTCTCCACGGTTCCAATATTTTTCCACTAAAAATCATTCATGGAACGAGACCCTTTATTTTACTGTGGTTCCAAGTGTATGTGCTGGCCTGAAAGCACGACGTCAAAAGACTGTCGGTCACTGATTGTTTAGGGGGTGGAGTCACTGGTTGCGTCACAAGAGCTACTCTCACAACAACCTGATCCGCCATTTGCAATAACAACACTACCATGTCCTCCATTGTTGTGTATTGTTGCATATCATTTCGGGGTCTTCTTATTCTACTTTTTTTAATAGTGACTGACAAATAGTTTAATGGATCGTAGCTGCTACCAGCTGGTAAAGCGTGTGACATCAGTTTTCTGACTCTGGAAAGGAGTGATGGGGATGCTCCATCACTGGGATCTTTAGCTACTTTGTGACTAACAGCCTTTTTCAAAGATACCATTTATTCCAATTTCTTCAGTTGAAGTTATAAAAAATGCCAACGTCAACAGAGTTTGACATATCAAATACTATTTAGCACCAATAAGGTGATTACCAAAGATGAGCTGAAAGCTTGACATCATGAAGATGATCATCCTGTGTCAGGTCTTAGATGGATTTTGGAAAACCCCATCATTCAGATGCGGTTCACCTGCTGTAGATGGTTCATTAGGCCTGACAACATATCCTTTCGTTTTCCATTCATCTACTTTTTTTGTTTTTAAAAATGTGCTGCCATGGTCAAGTACGAGGACTGGAAAGAAAACCAGTGGGAAAAGTAGCCAAAGTCTAAAGAGACACTTTGAAAGACCTTTACAAAGTCCGAATAACTATTGATGAAAACCCCTTGAAAGGGTTACAAGTAAGTCTGGCTGCTCAGGTGCAAAGATAGGAAAAAATGAAGACTGGTGTAAAGATAAGCACATTTTATTCAGCCTCAGCAGTCGTTGCAGTCTGAAAACGAGGTTTTTGGTGAACATTCAACATACCGTTTACACACCTGCATCACCTCTAATTAGTGATCGATGGTCCAGAATTCAGTAATCCATGGGTGGTGTTGGTACTCAGGAACATTATTTTGTATCAGCTGAACTAACAGCCTGCTGGATTTGCAGCCCTGTGGGTGTTCCCTACTTTGACTGACAGCTAACATGGCCACACAAACAGCTCCGGGCATTTGTGTGATGATCGTCTGAATGACCATTCTGATGTGTAATTCAGGAAAAAGATGATTCAGCGTCATTTTTAAGTGTTTGTCATCCTCTATTTTCTTTTTCTTTCATTCATGTTTTTTCTTTTTTCTTTTTTACAGCCAAGCAGACCAGGCTATCCCAGTCCCCGCTCCAGTGAAGGTTTCTATCCAAGTCCTCAGCATCCTGGACACTACCAGGTATGAAGACAAAACCTTTGAATTTTCTACTACACTTGTACTTGATGCAGACAATCCAAAGTGTTGATAAAAACCTGACTGCAGAATAACCTAATGTCTCTTCCTTCTGGTGTGTAGATGGCAGGGTATCCTGGCCCTCACACCCTCCCCTCGGTGCCCAGCGCCCTCTACCCTCCACCAGCTGCCATGGTGGACACACACCACGCACACACACACCCTCGCCACCACGTGCACACGCACTCGCACGCACAGCAACTTCCCCAGCCCCACGGAGCGGACATGGCACTATGGGAGGTAAGAAAGCATGTTTACATTCTTAAAAAGCGTAATTCTGTCTAATTTTTATGCTTAGTGCTAAGTTATTTCATATATTCTGTAAAAATCAATACCCCACTGCCATGTATTATTTTAAGTTTGTGTGCATTCACCTTTTCAGTTCTGCTTGTTTCATCAGTCTGGTGTAATCTGTCTTCATTTCTTGTCTGTGGGCGTGTGCGTGTTCTCTTCACGTGTATTTTTATGTTTTGTTGTGTTGGCCTGCATGCATGTTGTGCTGCGTTTGTCTTTTTTGTTCTGTGTTTTGTGTGTGTGTGCGTGCATAGGACAGTGAAGTAGACTTGCAGCAGTGTGTAGGCCAGCAGTGCCTGTTAATGGAGGAACAGCTGATGATACAGCAGCAGCAGATGGAGGAGGATCAGAGGTGGCTGGAACAGGAGGAAAGGCTGCTGGTAACAAACGCAGCACACTCAGAGGAAATACACTCAGACACAGCTGATCCAGTTCCAACACAAAGGCTCTAACAGGTCATTGAAAGGGGACATAAATGTGCCTGGAAGAGGAATCAGCACCAAATGTCCACAGCAAAACCAGAGGAGAAATGCTATTTAAGTATTCAGATTTATCCTAGTGTCCACATTTGTGTCGGCATGGTGGCTTCAAGCTCAAAATAGTCTCACATCACAAAAGAGAAGATTGATGGGATTGAGTAAAACATCTCAGTCAACCACCTTAAACCAGATGCTGTGACCAGAACTGTAAACGCGTCACGTTACATGATTATTCCTGCAGAAATGTTAGGATGTTCCTGCTACAGCTTGGCCTGGCCATTGTCTTCCTACACAATTCTGCTTGATTCTAATCTCCCTTCTCTTCTCCGTCTGGGCTTTCACCCATTGAAACTGATTTCTCCAGTTGAGTTTCAACCGGGCCAATCAGCAAACAGAAGGAGTAGTTTTGAACGATGACGTATATTTTCTGCGCTGTTTCAGTCTGCCTGTAGTTTTTAATTGGAAGCAGAGGAAGTGAATGAAGCCATTCAGTCCGTGTTGACAAGGTTTCCAAATTAAATTAAATTTGATGAATTTTGCAGTTAATTTACAGCCATCTCGTTCAGCTCCGTACTTCTGTCTTCCCACTAAGGGATGGTTGTTTACAGCACACACAATTTCCGGTTAGCTTCTTAGCTTAGCTTCCTTCACAGTTGAGCTGGCGCACTACATATGTCACGGCCAACTGTTAGCGATTGGGTAAATCAGATCCAATCATTTAAAACTGCAACTAGTCCACGCCTCCAGCGAGCAATTTTTTCTCAATAGCCAGGGGTCCAGATCCCCTGTATGAAGCAAAGCGTAGAACAAAAGACTGTTTTTTTACCAGGCTAGGTACAGCTAGCCGACTAGATCAGTCTTAACACACCACAGATCATAACCACAGGAATACATTAAGATTATCTTTAGAGCCATCATGATAATCAAAGAGCCTTTAGGAGGAGGGCAAAATCGGGCCTAAACTTGGCATAATTATCTTGCTGTGTGAACCCGGCATTAGATAAAATATATAAGATTTTGTCTAGAAGACAAAACAGGAAAAGCACGTCTTCTTTATATGTCACTTTACTTTGATAAATTGCACATTAATTTTACACTTATCAGCTTGGTGTGATTTCTATTTTAAGTCATTTTTCAGGAAGAGAAATTTTAATGTTATTTATCCAGGAAAATCCCACTGAGATCTCAGATCTCTTTCAAGGGTGGCCTGGGCCTGAAGGCAACCTATTGTACATATGTTTGTGTTGTGGGGGAAACTGGAGTATCTGGAGAAAACCCACACAAGCATGAGGAGAAAATGAAAACTCTGCACAGAAAGACCAGGTCGAACCGGGGATTGAACCCAGGACCTTCTTGTTGTGAGGCATCAGTGCTAACCACCTAACCAGTGAGCCGTTGTACTGCCAATTTGTTTTACAGCCAAAAACTGTTGTCAGATATATTAAATAAAATATTGTATTATAAGCCAGAGGATTCAGCCTGAAAAACAACATAAAAACACATTTTATCTGTAGAATTGGAATCATTTACCTGCACAACAACATAAAGAATCATACATTATAAACATCTTCATTGTATCTTGGTGTATATTTTATTTAATGTTGTGAATTCTACATTCATCATAAATGTCTTTCTGAATTAATTTTTCTTTTTTTTCTTTTTTTTTAAGCTGTTATCATCTTTTTGCTCACTTATGTTTATAATTATGTGAAGGTCATCACTGTCAGTTCAACAAACTTAAGCTAAATGCTTATGCTTAAGATAAATGCTTTATCAGTGATTGATAAATTTACAGAATGCCGTTTTGTTTTAAAAGCATTAAATTTTTTTGTCACTTTGTAGCATTCAGTTTAGTCAGTGAAATTTTCCTCTTAATAAATACACATTTCTTGTAAAAGCAGAAGCTCAGTTTGCTTGATCAGCTGCCAGTTTTAGCAGTTATAAAATGAGTTCCCTGGAAATCCAGAGCTTAATGTGCTCTTCCTCTGTGTCCTTTATTATAGCCTTAAGTTTATGTTTGTGTCAGTGAGTCACTATGATTGGTTGGATATGTTTCCCAGTTTAACAAAGGCCTGCATTAAAACTTGATGTTACACAACTTCCTCATTCATTATTTTTCAGGTCTAATTAGCAGCTTTCTGTCCTGAAATGTCTTTAGGTTCGTATTGTCAAGCCCCTTATTTTATTTTGTGAGCTGATATGTTTTTGTGTCATCCTACATTTCTTGTACCTAGTTTCTGTTGAAGCTTCCATAATGTGTACATTTATCAAATAGAGTAGCTATCATTTTGTGTTTTTGAGGAAAAACTGTCCTCATTTGTCAGTCAACAAGTCTTGTCTTTGTATCTTTATTCAGGGAAAAGGCCATTTTGATGAAAAAGAATGATTCAAGCATGCTGATTTTAATGCTCAGACTTCAGCTGTGTCTTGTTTCATTTGTTAAAGACCTGCAAACAGAAAGACGAGGTTGTCAGAAGGGAGCAGTGTTTCGTGTTTCAGGCATTTCTTTGTGAACATTGATTGAAGTATCTGTCTGGAGTTGTGACTGAAGGATTTTATTGTGAATGTCAGCGAGTTTGGAGGCAGGTGGGGCCTGCGTGAATTCCAGGCCTAATGATAGGCTTACGGACTCTGACAGCCCAGTCAACAGTCTGTCTTTGACCCATAACCACTAACCGACAACACAGGAGATTACTGAAAAGCAGAGGAGGCATTAAGTGGGTGTGCTGGAGCGCGCATGTGAAAGTGTTGGTCGTAGACTGGCTGGTTTTTATCACAGTTACTTCAGTGAGAAGGGGAGGAGAAAGAGGGGTGTCCTGACAGCTTGTTGGCAGTGTATCCCTCCTCCTCCTCCTCCTTCCATCTCTCCCATGTTTGCGAGTCAGATATAAGTGTGCTGGAGGCAGGAAGTTGGGGTTGGATCCCATGAAGCTGCTGGCACAGACAGACGAGCAGAAAGAAAGGAAAACGTTTAGACAGAGGCAGGCAGACATCTCAGACACGACTCATCAGGCAACTTTGATGAACCTAATGGCGATGCTGGTCTTCAAATCCTGCCTTGGAAAACTGGTATGAGAGGATCACTGTGTTGGAGGGTCACATTCTTTTTTCTTTCTTTTTTTTTTTTGCAGTTATCTAAAAGTAAAAGCTGAAGCAAAACGTAACTTTTCAGTCTGTTTAAGATCTCTGCTTTTATTCGAAATCTGGTCTGAATGGTTCTTTTAAGTCCAACAATCTTTAAACAGAGTCAAGTGATGGAGTTTGCATCTTTGTGAAAAGATCAAGGAGCTAACTTCCACCCACAAAATGAAAATCTCACAAACAAAAAATGCTTTTCTACTTTTTACACCACGGGCAGAAGAGCAATGTGACTCAGATCCTTTAAAACAAATGAAGTTCTTCAATCTTTGTGCAATTATCTGAATAAATCACAAACCGCTTCTAAATGTTAAAGCCCCGGTTTGTGTTTGTTTAGAAACCAGACACGAGGAGCTCTAGAGGGAGTCTGGAAAGAGAAGACGGTGGACTCCAGCCTCCGGTAAGTTTTTGATTTGTTTAAATCAGATGCTGTTTACATTTCTATCAACCTCTTTTTTGGTTGGCTCTTTTTCTCTATGAAAGCCTCAGTGTCACAGAGCAGACAGTTAAAGTGTCCCTCTGACTTTCTGCATGATACCGTTACTATCTGAATTTCCTGTCAGAATTACAACAGCCTGCAACTTTTGTTTGCAAATAAAGTAAAACTATATTCAATTGGCAAATCCTATGTTTATGTCCATTTTTCTTTCAAGCACATAGCAAACGTCTGCTAGATGTTTTGGTTTTGGTTAGAGCTGAGGGGGAAAGATCTGGGGGCAGGAAGTGACTTAAAGAGGGGGGTAAGCAGTGCAGGGTCAGTGTTTTCTCACAGCATTACTGGATATTTATAGAGGACAGTTACAAGAAAAGGATGCTAGAAGTTTATTGGTCTTCTTTTTATTGAATTCTAAACTCATCAGAAATCATCTGTTAATTATTTATTTTGTTTAGAAATTTTTCCTCCTCAAAAGTATAAATTTGATAACATTTACACTGGGAGAAACTGGTTGTTTTACATAGTATTGATTTTTATTACAGATAGAAAAAACATTTTTACTGTTTTATAACCTTTAGGTGACCAAATTAGTTTTGTTACTGGTAAAGGACACGTGTCAAACTCAAGGCCTGCGGGATAAATCTGGCCCTTATGAACATTTTATCCGGCCCTATAAGTCATTTCTTTAAATTAGTGCTGGGCGGTATGCTGGTTCGTACTGAAAACCGGTTTCTATTTTTCTTATGGTGTGAATTTTCTGAATCCCGGACATACCGGTTTAAACAGCCTGAACATGTTTGGAGCGTCACGTCGCACTCACCAGTGAACTGTTTCACGGGGGACACTATTCCTTGCAGCACCGCTATGTGCATTAGCAARCTAATGTTATTGTTGGAGCAGCTTTTTTAATAACTGGCAGCGGGTGACAATTTCACTGCTTAAATTAAAAAAAACAGTTTTCGCTGAATGTAGTAAACACCTCTTGACGTGCATGGATATATTTAACACGCAACAATAATGCATGGAGACGTTAATGTGCTTCTATTGTGAAAAGCCTGGGGAAGTGGTTTTGTACGGGGGTTTAGTTGACTGGTTCACGGAGGCCGAGCCGACTTTATTAAATAACAAAAACAAAAGACCCAWTAAAAATCTTAGCTCACCCCTCCTCCTTCACGACCGGACCAAAATGTGTGACTACTGTCTACAACCAGGCAGAGAGGTAAAGACTTAAGAGGAGGGAATCAGCGACAGGTACAGTGAAAGAAAAAAGTCAAGAAGTRGTTCCTGTGTTGCAGAAAGAGARTAACTTCAGCTGACTGTGGTTTGGTAATCAATAATCAATGTTTGTACATTTTACTATCAGCWGAGYTGTGATGAAAAGAAAATACAGTCAAATACCGTGATACYGGTATATTTGTTGAAAATACTGATGCAAAATTTGTGTCGTACCGCCCAGCACTACTGTACAATATAAAGTAGTTTCATGGTTTCTCTTTTTGTCTCTGTCTTCTCATGACAGCTGGACAACTTTCAGGCCAAGAAAATTAGTTTTAATCTTTTAGTAATCTTTAGAGAATCGACTTTAATTATATTTTTCTGTATTCTCTCGTTTTAAAGTCAAATAATTGGATTTTTAATGAGTTTCTTTATTTTTTAACCTGATTTGCTGGATTGTGATAACATTTGTCTCTAAGATATATAAAATCAAAAAGTTGTTGGTAGAGAGTAACGCGTAAGAAATTAATGTTGAAGATATCTTTCTAAATTTAATCTCTTTTCTTGAGGTTATGTATGTTCTAAATGCTGTATAAAACACAATTTGTTAAAGGTAATTTAT